AGATACAGCAAGCTGTTATATTCTTATTGCAGTACTGCTCTTTTAAAAAAGCCCCCCAGGTTCTATTGCTGTTTAGATCACACATGGTAAAAAGAGGAAAGCTGCCACAATAATCAGGGAGAACAGCAGGAGGTGTCAAGGAATTTAACAGAGAGGATGGAAAAATTTTAAATATATGCAGTGAGATTGTGAGTCCAACTGGGTTGTCCAGAACAGTTAGCTGGAGAGAACCCAAATTCCTGAACATCCTGTCACAGCATCTTGTGCATATTCTTCCTCTCCACACATGCAGGTTTACAGACAGTTGTTATATGGTCTATAATGCAAGCAAATCTCAGGAGGACTAAGTTCCTCTGTTGGGCTGGCTGTTCAGTGGCACATTGGGCCACTGCTGGCACGGACACCACCTCAACCCAATAGAGCACACTGACAGGCTCTTCCACTGTATATTTGTTTTCTAGCACTCCACTTGTTACCTCACACATTCAACCCTATGTGGACTAGAAACACTTTCTTTGCACTATTGTAATTCCAGAATTTTCTGCTCTGCCATGCATTCTTTCTGCGATTGGTCACCAGTTGAACAGAAGATCCTTTGCCTCTGGAGAACTCCAGAAAGAACTGTGGTGCACTTATGTAGTTAGCATGGTGCTGATGAGTACAGAACTGTAATCCGTGGTTGAAATGTATAATTCCTCCTGGTTGTATGCCAGCACTTAAGAGGCAGGGTGTTAAATGGTCATCATAACTCCAGATCAAGAACAAATACATAGGTTAGTAAACTCAATACTCCTTTTAGGAAACTGGGCAGGATGGTACAACAGGTGGGGCAGTGCTAACAGTGTGTAAAGGGCGCTCACGTGAGCACTAAGTTCACATTAGCACATTGTGCAGTGAGTGGACTTTCAAACTGTAATAATTATAATAATATTATTATAATAATATATATTATTATATATAATATATATTATATAAAAATACATTATATATATAAATTATATATATACAATAAATAATAATAAAAGTAGTAATTACATATAAATACAAATAGCTACTGTGCTATACCAACATTTCAACACAGAGTTCAGTGCCAATGAAAATATCCTATTTACATATAGGTAACTCTTAGCACAGGTTTGTTGTCTTGCAACTGTTCTAGGAAGACTATTCTTGCATATTCTGCTCTCAGAATACTAGTCTATAATTTCACCACAATTATGACAGATCTTTCAGATGTGCATACTTCCACCTCCCAGAGAGAAAATATGTTGCACTTATGCAATGAGATACGATTGTGTTATCCTCAGATGATCTTGAGAATGAGAATGGTTTATTGTTCCACTCGACACAGAAATTTCTCTATAGATTTGGCATGTTTGGGGCTTTTCAAGAACAGAAAGATTAAGCAATATAGATGGATATAGGAAACTCTGCCTGGAGAGAGGCACAAGGTGGGCACTATAGTCTGTGTTTGTGTGCTTTCTGGGTCTGAGCAGTATAAAGTAAATCACAGAATCACTATGGTTGGATAAGACCACTAAGATCACCTAGTCCAACTGCCAACCCCTGCCCACCATGCTTACTAACTATGTCCCTCAGTGCCACGTCCACACGGCTCCTGATCACCTCCAGGGACAGCAACCCCACCACCCACCTGTGCAGCCTGTGCCAATGCCTCACCGCTCTGTCAGAGACAAAATTTTTCCTAATATCTAAATTATACACTCTAATTTCTAAAACCATTCATTGCCTCTCTGGCACTCACATCATTGCGCATCTCCTCACTGCCCGCATTTGGCCCACACCATGCTGCACGAAGGTAGGAGATCAAAGGGCTTTGCACAAAAGGTGGCTGGCAACACTGGTGACAAATGCCCTCAATTACATCAGCCACAGACCATGGTGACCAGTATCTGTTGCCTATTTTCATTACTGTGTGTTTTCAGCCACTCTCACGTTGCCAGGTCTGGCACAGGAGAGATTGAGGATCCCACCTCAGGGACCAGGAGGGAGCAAGCAAGGAGCGCCCGACAGGAATTCAGGCTTCTGAGTCGCAGCGTAGTGCGGTGACCACTGCTTAAAGACAGCAGAATCTGAAGTAAGGTTCGTTTGTTTGCAGGCTTTATTTTCCCCCATTCTTCCCCTCCGCGCCGCCAACCCCCGCGGGTCGACAGAAGCGCATCAGGCATCGCGCCGGACAGCCTCCGCACCGGCTGGCGGCGGGGTCCTCGCACTGTATTTGAACGCGAGGCGGAAGGCCCGCCCCCTCTTTCGCTTGCGGCTCGCGGCGGCAGCGGGGTGAGCGGCCATGGCGGCGGTGGGGCCTGCCGGGCAGAATCCCTCCGGCCGGCGGGCCATCGCGGCGGGGGGGCGCTGGGCGGGGATATCGGGGCGGCCGCCGGCACTTACCGGGGCGGTCTGTCTCTGTATTTGCAGCAGGAAGCCGGGCGGGAGCGGCACCCACCGAGAGGGCCATGGCCGAGGAAGGGTGAGCGGGGCGGCGGCTGGCGGGGTGGAGGGCGGAGGTGGCGGGTCGCTGCTGGACGCAGCGCCGTGCTTGGGTGCCCCGCGTCGGGTCGGGTCTGACGTCTCGGGCCGGGCAGGCCGCGCCGTGCTGCCACCACCGCTACCTGCCCCCTATAGGCGGGGTGAGGTGCGCTGATGGCATGGCTGGGTTTGCGACCGGCCCTTTTGTGAGGGATCATGGGGAGTCCACAGCTGGCTGGTTCACCAATAAGGTTTAAAACGTATTCAGGTTCCTTTTAACTGCTACTTTTTTTCAATTGCTGCTGTGGTTTTGCTCTTTCATTTGCTTTTTTTTTCCTGTAGTTTTTAGCAGTTGGGTGCTTGCAGGTGAATGGGAAGTTTCTGCTTATGATTGTGAAGATGCTGGCATGGGCAAAGCAATGATGTCTGCTTTCTGTTTAGCATTACTGCTGGAGGTGTAATGGATGTTAACACCGCCCTCCAAGAAGTGCTGAAGACCGCACTTATCCATGATGGCCTCGCTCGTGGTATTCGTGAAGCAGCCAAAGCCTTGGACAAGTAAGTGTTGTGTTTCTTTTATTTGTGAATAGTAATATGGAGTGAGGAATATTGTGAAAAAGTATATTAAGCACATTAAGGTGGAATGGCATTGGTTGCCACCTCAAGCTCACAAACCTTCATAGACTCATAGAATGGCCTGGTTTGAAAAGGACCTCAAAGATCTAGTTTCAACCCCCCTACCAAAGGCAGGATCACCAGCCACTAGGCCAGGCTGCCCAGAGCCACATCCAGTCTGGGTTCTTTTTAACCTTGCATTTTAAGAGAGGATGGGACTCCCAAAGCTTGTTAAGAATTAGAATTGAGAAGGCTAATATGTATGTCAGATTTAAACTGGAAAACTTGATTTAATTATTTTACAAAAAGAGCTTGCCTTTTTCTGGCTAGCTTCACCTTTTTGATATGGCTGTAAATAACTGACTTGGTACTATATCAAAATAGTATTAAATTTGTTACACATGTGCTAAATGTAATATGCAGGTATGCAGGTACTATTTCTGGTATATGTGCATAGATACAAGCTTCTAGTATCAGCCTTTAAATAACATTTAAGTGTAAAGCTACAGTGTTTGAGTGATGACTTCACAAATTGTCGGATACCCCTTCACTCCTTTTGAGTGAGAACTGTGGTCTGACAAACCTGTATGCAAAAAGCTCTAAAACAGTACTGAATAAGAAAAGGGAGAAGTGTAATTGACTGAGAACTAGATGGCAAGAAGTCTTTTGAGTTAAGATAAAAATTTACGTAATGTGCATTAAAAGGATAATATTTATACAAGGCTTGGGTGCATTTGTGTCAAATGGTTCTTGCTTGGAAACTTCTGAAATGTTCTAGTGGTGCTCATGATGGAGAAGGCTGTAACATAAGATTTGTTTGCAGTGGTCACATTACATTGAGTTAAGCATAGAAGACCTATACGGCTCTCTTTGTTGTCAGGTATCCCTTTGATATTCTTAACATTGTACTGCAGTATACAAAGATCGTAATTAGAATTGGGGCCCTGTCATAACAGCTTCTTTGGACGTAAGTAGAAAAGATTGTTCTGAAGAGCTTTTAAAAACCTGGCATAGAAATTCAAGCTTTTGTAATTACAATCCTAATGTTGAATGACTGTAATCTGAGGTAGAGGGCAAAAAGCAACTTGTAATTTTGTTGCTTTAGTGTCTAATAAAGATGCTAGTTGTGTATGGGACTTGGTGTTTAGTCATTACACCTTTTTCTAGGGTCTAAGAATTAATATAATGGTGTTTCTAGAAGCTTCTGAAGTTGTATAGAATCACATAATAAAACAATGCATAAGAGCTGTGTTGTGTTTGAGAAGCAGGAGATAGTAGTAGATCATATGAAAAGTGTATTTTATAATTCAAAAGTGGTTTAAAAAGACCAGAAATAAAGTGGCTTGTCTACACATGAATGTGCTGAATCTTGCTTGTCATGGTTTTGGTTATTAAGAAGGCTTGGTCAGCATTTGAGGTTATGTTTTCCATTTCTTCTTTTAAGGCGCCAAGCCCATCTTTGTGTCCTGGCTTCAAACTGTGATGAGCCCATGTACGTAAAGCTAGTTGAAGCACTTTGTGCAGAACACCAGATCAACCTGATAAAGGTGAGTGTCAGAACCTCATACACAAGTCTGGAAGTTACCATACTTGTGAGCTGATCTGCTTGTTTCAGAGAATAAAAAGGTGAACTTTTGAGACACTGTACTGTAATTCTGTATATAGTTTATGAAAGCAAAATTTCTGACAGCAGCAGTGACTTTTCAGTTTAATGTGATTCTTAGGTGACCAGCATAAAAGCCATGGAATGGTTAAAGATGTATTTTAAGTTTAAAGTTGAAGTCTATTTTTGTACTGTATTTGAAGAAACAGAACTCATTAGATTAACTCATTAAATAGTGGTTATAGAGTGTGTGTAGGGTCTTAATGTGAGTTTTCTTGAAATTAAAGACATAAGAGCTGTACAATGATGAGACTTTGGCTCCCTCTACTGATAGTTGTGGGGAAAACAGCCATACGTTACCCAATACCTCTGAGAGTACAGCAGTTTTTTATTGAGTATAGTTACATTAGAAATTAACAGTTCTAATGTGATGTAATGTTTTATGCAGGTTGATGACAACAAAAAGCTGGGTGAATGGGTAGGACTCTGCAAGATCGACAGAGAAGGGAAACCTCGCAAAGTAGTGGGCTGCAGTTGTGTGGTTGTCAAAGTAAGATGATACTCCTTTAATTCTGGAAATGAGCAATATGAGATTTGTTTATGTCCTCTTGCCACTAAGCATTAAAGACAAGTTTTTTAACTAGAAAATAAACTCAAGAGAAAAAAAACACCAGTTAATAGTCTCTGCTCAACTTGAAAATGTTTTGCAGAGCATGTTTTAAAACTACTGGTAAAGTAAAGCCACAGTACGAGCCTTGAAGAAAATTTATTGTCTTTGAGGTCCCAAAAGATGGCTACATCTTCACCATAAGCAGTAATGACTTCTGCATGTGTTGTAGTACTTGTTACTGTTTTGCATACTGATATATTTGATTTCCTTTAAGCAGAAATTAAGTCTGCTTGGACCTTCACCAGTGGGTTATATGCTTAAATGAAATAGCATAGTCCAATATTAAAATAGTCATTTATTAGCAAACCAAAGGAAAGCAACTGGTAGATACGATTTCTCTTGAGGTTACATCATGTCAGAATACTAGCTCTTTTAAAAGTAGGATGTAAACTTCAGAATGGGTTGTCTTGTTTATAATGGGTTATTCTGTGTTACAGGATTATGGCAAGGAATCTCAGGCCAAAGATGTCATCGAAGAGTACTTCAAGTGCAAGAAATGAAAAATAAACTTTGAGCCTAATGAGCGTGTGTGTGTGTGATTAATGGGTGGGTGCTGGTGGGATTCTCATTATTACAAAGGATAACAAAGGATGAAAGGTCTTGAGTAGTTCCATAATATTTAAGTTCTGTTTCTTAAGAAGGTAATGGGAATCCTTGCTATTCTTATTCCTTGGTGCTCCTTTCCATGTTTGTACCATGGTTTGCAACTTAGGGAACTTCATACAGCTTCTGAATTGCAGAAATGCTGATAGTTGATTATGGTCTTTGCTAGCACCTAGTTTGGCAGCATGTAGACCTGCACTTCTACAACATTTCCAGAGTAACTTGTCTGGGAAAGTCTGAAGTAACTGCTGCATCTGTGATGAAAATTTGGCTCCCTCTACTGAAGCAAATGAGGAGAACTGCCTTAATTGTTACCCAAATCTTCTGAGATGTTGCAGAAATTCTTTAAATAAATCTTATTCAGGAGACTAACTTGACATTAGTTCTGTTTTCCTTCACTCAGTTCTGAAACAAACTGCGTGGAATTACCTGTATAAAAATAGTACTGTCATGTAGTTAATGATTGTGTGTGCATGTGTACACTGCTGTCAGGATAGCCAAATGGTTGGGATTTCATTGCTGAGACAAGGCAGTTCTTAATAGTGTCTTGTCCTCTGTTGTCCTTTGTCTTGGTTTCATTAATAGTGGCTAGGTACAAACTTTTTGTTAAGCAAAACCTTTTTGGAAATCTGAACAGGTTTAATATCTCCTATGTGTTGCATCTTCTGCAAAGTGGAGCATCTCCAACGGGACTCCTAAGGATTTGCTTAAATAGGACATGAATGGGACTGGGACTGGGCACGTGTACACTGAAAGGTCTGGAATGTGTGTCTGTTAATTGTGAATAAATTACAGCTACTATTAAATTTATATTACTAAGTATATTACCAATTACCATTGAAATTACAGGAATTCTCTTGTTGATAGGATCCTCAGTTTATCTCATTGGATTACTGGAGGTTTCTAAGCAATTAATTTGTAAGAATACTCCTTTCAAAATGGAATTGAAAGGCTACCACAAAATGTAGGTTGATTTGGCTAATAAGCTTAAGTATTTCTTGTAAATTGGCATGTTTTAAAGTGTGGTTTATCTTTTGTCCTGTGTTTAGGAGCTCTACCTTTCAAGGGATTTGATTCCCTTTTGAAAATGCATGGTATACCCATGCCTATGTGCCTGTAATATTTCTAAAATGTTTCCAGGTACGTGCTAGGGGAAGTTGTCTGGAATTATGGTGGTAGCAGTGATCTTAATTGTATTAAGGTTTGCTTTTTCCTTGGCTCTCTGTTCCATTATAGTTTAATTCACAGGGAACTGGGGTCTGAAACTGGGGTTAATGTCCAGGTTAACTTGCTGGTATGCTGCAGGGTTTGGAAATTTTCTTAATTAAATGTCTAAGTGTGTTTACCTACAAAAAGTAGTGAGGTCCTTCAAATTCTCTGGGCTGAGAGCAACAAATGTGCAATGCAGTAAGCTCCTCTGGAGTAGTGGATGAAGGTTCATCAAAACAGTGAGATCTATACTTACATGGTCAGATCCAAGGAAACCCTGGCTGAGCACGTGACTAAAAACAGCTTTTCCAGGTGTTAATGTTTTAATCAGACACAAACATTTTCATTTTTTAAACACAAAATGACATGGATAGCAGGGAATTGCTAATTCAGGTAAATTTCACTTGACTACAAAGGGAGTTTAAACAATGTACAGATATTTGCCTTCTGGTGTGTAGAAGCAGCAATATGTGTTCTCTGGAAATAAGTTAAAATTCTTGCCTGAACTGGTGGTCATTCTCAGGCCAAAATTTTTACTTTCTGTGTGAAGGAAAAAGCTAGAGAAGTCCTTTGAAGAAAAGTTATTTGGTTGTGAAGTATGCAGACCTTAGGCAGTATTAACAGGGTCATCTGTGTGGGATTCAAACCCAGTATTTTGAGACCAGTGGAACTCTTTTAGAGGCACCTGTATGTCATCCTGGCCTGTACTAACACTTTTTTTGTCTTAGGTCAAAACTGCTAGAGCATCCAAGTGCATACATACCCCTTCTCTCCTACTTTGATGGAATATATTTGACTGGTTCTTGTCAGGGACTTGACAGTACTTTCCATTAACAGTGTGCATTCCCGCTTTACTGTTTGAGACCTCTGAAGTCTGGCATAATGGCAGTGGTCTCATACTGCATGCATCTTATTGTGAAGGAGGAAGTAGTTATGCTTATGATGTGCAGTGGAAGCCAAGTCCTCACTGAAAAGATTAAGAACAGCTCGTTCACAGAATCACAGAATTGTAGGGGTTGGAAGGGACCTCCAGAGATCATCGAGTCCAACCCCCCTGCCAAAGCAGGTTCCCTACACCAGGTTACACAGGTAGGCATCCAAGCAGGTCTTGAACATCTCCAGAGGAGACTCCACAACCCTCCTGGGCAGCCTGTTCCAGTGCTCCGTCACCCTTGCTGTAAAGAAGTTCTTGTGCACTGGATCTCCCAGTGTAGAGAAGTTCCTCAGTAGCATAAATGCCAGGGGTCAGCTTGTCAGCATTAAGTTGCTGTGTGCATGTATCTGTAGGCTCTGCTCCTCTGGAGAGTGTTTTCTCTGCTTTACCAAGAGAGAAGTGAATATGCCAGTTCTACTTAATGCTAAGAATGTTATGGCTGGTGAGCATCAATTCTGCACAAAGAATGTTTGGTATTAAACCACACAGTGCCCTTAACTATGAGAAATAAGCAGAATATTAGTGTGCCCTTCTGTGCTAAGATTGGTGCAGACAACATGCTCTGCTTTCTGAAGGCCTCACATCCAGTGGTGCAAAGGAACTTAGAATGGTCTTATGTTAGTCTTGCCTTCTACACTGGAGATTATGTGTTTGAGGTTTGAAATCGCAGAAGGATTTTTAACTGTGCTTTTCGAAGCAGATACTGTATGCTGGGCAAGCAAAAAAGTGTGGTGTGACTCACCTAAACTGAAGAAAAACAGAAGAAATGGCAAACTTTCTCAGTAGTTACATGCAATGCAGTTTTGACTGTCAAGTAAATACAGATTCTTCCAGTCACTGGTCAGCAAGCAGATGTTTAATTTTACCATCTTTTTAAAAAATGTTGGACAGATGATGTGATAGACATGCTCTTATGTAATGATGCACATATCTATAATCTTATTATGAGTTAGCATTATTTTTGAATGAAGGTTCCACTGATGGAATAACCTATATTCACATTAATTGCTTCACGTAGTTACTGTAATTGATAGTACAGTATTATGGGAGTGAAACACTGCATATGAGTCTCCCAGCATCTGTAACTGTGCTTCCTTCTCTCAGTCCCATAAGTTTCTGGCTCATTTAATACAGGAACTGATAAGAACCATTTTGGGAGTAACCATGATTTGCAGAAGCTTCTCCCCTGTTCTCCAATTCTAAAGGAATTAGGCAGACTTCTCATAGTATTTAAGCAAAATTATTTATTTTCACTGACATATGTGCAAGAAATACAGTATTACATGAAATGGGGATACTTTTAGTAAGGAAAAGTAACCACACTTTTCTGATAATTAGAATTTATGGTTTTGTTTGTACCTGGTAAGTAAACCAAACTTCTAAGTAAACCAAACAAAACCTGATGCTTTGTGCTGCTGAAAGATTACTAGGTACTAGGCGGAGTTCTGAAAAAATATCCACAAGGGAAAATCAACATCGTGTTTTGCTTATATGATTGGACAATTTCTGTTTTCCCTCTAGCTCAGTAAATACCAGGAATATGTTTGTCTTCACTCTAGCTTGATTGAGATTAGTATCAGTAAGAGAAGTTTGACTGTTTGAAGCAAAACAGTAGTTTTTGTGCCTTAATACTCTGCAGAAATACCAGTGCGAAGTGATCAGATGCTCTTTTCTAAAAGCAATGAAATAATCTGCATTCAGGCCATATCTGTGAAATTACTGCCCTGTAAAATTTTACAATCAAGTTATGAAACAAATATATTTTGTGCTGATGTGCAGACAAATGTTTATTAAAGCAAATTTCCTGTTTTGTTGCTCCAAAAGAGTTACAATTCCAATATGCTTAATTCCCAGCCTTCCCCCTCCTTCTTTCTTTCTTTCTTTTTTTTTTTTTCCCCTATTGAAATGAATCTAAGATACTTTCCACATAGAAAGACTTTAAATCTTTGTTAAAATAAGCTTTGTATTTTGAGGACCGAGTTTGGGGGGGGAAGAAAAAAAAAAAACGACCATGCCCCTGAAGTCACCTTTTATTCTGATTGTCTTGTTAGCAGCCAGTGTGTTGGATAACATAATGCAGATGCTAAGGACAGGTTTACGAAGGCAGATGGGGGTGGAAGACTAGAAATATTCTAGTTTTAAGGGTATGTGTTTAAGGGAATGGAGGTCACGCTTTGTAGAACCCCCTCCACAGTAAAAAAATGAAACACCCTCAGATATCCACATATATTTATAAAGGTATATGTCAATACAAGCTACGGTGACTTTTTCATCTATATATTTGAGTGGATTAAATATTACAATATTGAAGTATCACCCTTCGGCTTTACTTCTTTCAAGGTAGCAAAATACAATGTCAGCACACGTTTGAGAAATGCCTTTATGT